GCGCTACTGCTGTCTTGACTCTGACCTCTGGGTCAGCTTTTCTTTCCTTGTGGCTGCGTAAGATCTATCGTAGGTCATCAGGTTTATACATCACCACCCTCAACCTTCAAACCACACTTCTGATCCAAACAAGCCTCCCCTTTTTTGGATCATCTCCGACTGTGTGGTCATCCTGGAACAATCACTGTGGCAAGGAGAATGGGTCGTTTTCACCCCGGCCACATTGCTGTTACACAGTAGGGTGAAGGAACATATACTGAGGCACCAATCTCTCTCCATCTACCACGAAGAGAATTTGGAAGGGACAGACTGGGAGTTCGGAATTTGTAGATACTGACAGGTATATAGAGTAGATAAACAAGATTATACTGTATAGCACAGGGAAATGTATACAAGATCTTGTGGTAGCTCATGGTAAAAAAAAAAAGAATGTGACAATGAATATATGTATGTTCACATATAACTGAAAAGTTGTGCTCTACACTGGAAATTGACACAACATTGTAAACTGACTATGACTCAATTAAAAAAAACAAGAAAGTGGAAATTATAGATCAGATAATTCTTAGGAGAAGGTGGGCCAGGAAGGAAGCAAAAGACGTTTATTTTGTATCATCAGACCTGATTCATAGTTCTTATGCATGCCTTTGCTTGATTGGAAAAAGGAACTAAGGAACTTTTTGCTTCCTGACTGCGTGTTTTCTGTTGGGCGCTGCAGTAAGGGTGAAACAGAGCATGACGCTAGCAGGGCTGTCCCGGATACAAAATCCTTTCCATGCGCCCTGTTTTTCATTTGCAGAAAAAGGCTTTGGTTTCCTACACCGTCTCTGAGTTTCAAAGAGCAGATTCAAGCAGTTACTAATCGGGGAAGTGAGGGAAAGCAGAAGCAAGGAAAATGCAAGCCCACCACAGGTTTTTCTGTGATTATTAGCTTAAACCAACGCCTCGATTGACAACCCCAAACTGTTGTGATATTGTCTTCAAGGGGACTTAAGAATTCATGACACTGGGAGGGTCAGTTGAGAACTGAAACCCCTGAAGCATCACATAGGCCCTAAACA